ATAGCAAAGGGTACCAATAAACTATTAGAAGTCAGAAGGTGCGGGTACCAATTGTAAGTTACTTAGCCAGCTGATGATATCCGAAACTATCTGGGGGCAGCCTTAGAGTTGCTTCGAGTCAATACTAGCTGAAAAATTTTGTAAAGGATCAGCAATTATATTCCTGAAAATGAAACTGAAAAATGACCACATGTATTTGAAAAAGAATCAAATAAAACTAGAAATCAAAATTAATAAACAAAATTCAATTAACTGATTAAATAGCCAAAGAGAAAAATAGTAATCTGAAGAAAGGAGATAGAAAATATGAATTAAATATTAAAAGAGATGGAAAATACAATGATAAGTTGTATGTCCTAGAGTATGTCAAACTGTGCATGGTGGTGCACACCTATAATCCCAGCACTTTGGGAGACTGAGGTGGGCAGATCACCTGAGCTCAGGAGTTTGAGACCAGCCTGGCCAACATGGCAAAAACTCATCTCTACTAAAAATAGAAAAATTAACCAGACATGGTAGTGCACTCCTGTGGTTCCAGCTACTCTGGAGACTGAGGCATGAAAATCGCTTGAACCCTGGAGGTGGAGGTTGCAATGAGCCAAAACTGATTGCTCCCCTGCACTCCAGCCTGAGCGACAGAGCAAGACTCTGTCTAAATAAATAAACAAACTAGAGTATGTCAGAGTTCCAGTAAATAAACAAAATAGGAAAAATCCAATACAAAGAAATTAGCTGAGACTGTCCAGAAATGTTGAAAGACCTAATTTGTAGATTGAGGAAGCTCAGTGAATCTCAAACAGAATAAATGAAGAGAAACTCCTCTTTACACTCATCATAGTGAAGTGACAGAAGATCAAAGACAAAGAAAAGACCTTAATAGTAATCAGAGAGAAAAGTTATGGCTTAAGAAAATTCCTTGACCTAAAGACAGAGAGTACAATAGTCTAACTTAAGAAATGAATTCGTAGTTACCTGAGTAAATACAGTGAGTGGAAAAATAATAATCAGTGCAGAGAAATAGTACAGTATACTAAATCCATGAATAAAACCATAATGCTATTAAAATTGGCAAATCGCAGAAGAAATATTGGAAGTGAAAACTGTGACAGTACAAAATAAATATGTATTTTAAGTATTGGAAGGGAGAGTTGTGAACATCTTTCAGAAAGAACCAAATGACAAAACTGAGAATAGAAAAGAAAAGACAGGAAAAATAGAGACTGTGACTAATAGCTCGATATCTTTAAGACAGTTGTGCGACATGGAGAAGTCAGAGCCAATAAACAGGCGAGAATTTCCAACAACATAAAATGAGAAGATGTCCCCAGAAATGAAAAGCATGGTGGCCACAAGGGCACAATGAAATAAGAAAGACCCACACCAATATTTAATCTCCAGGTTTCTAAACATGGATTTAGGAAGATCCTAGAAAATTCTAGAGTGAAAATAAGCAAGCCATCTACAAAGAAAGGAAAAATCCAAAAAAGCAACACTGGGAGTTAGAACACAATACCTCTGAAAAATCTAAGGGAAAATTTTCTTTGTTTTTTTGAGATGCAGTCTCGTTCTGTCGCCCAGGCTGCAATGCAGTGGCATGATCTCGACTCACTGCAACCTCTGCCTCCCAGGCTCAAGCGATTCTCCTACCTCAGCTTTCTGAGTAGCTGAGATTACTGGTGCAAGCCACCACACCCAACTAATTTTTGTATTTTTAGTAGAGACTGGGTTTTGTCATGTTGGCCAGGCTGGTCTCAAACTCCTTACCTCAAGTGATCTGCCCGCCTCAGCCTCCCAAAGTGCTGTGATTACAGGTGTGAGCCACTGTGTGTCTTAGTTTATTCACTTTGTGCTTCTACAACAGAATACCTGAGACTGAGTAATTTATAAAGAAGAGAAATTTACTTTTTTCACAGTTCTGGAGGCTAAGAATTCCAAAAGCAGGGAGTCATCATCGGCTCTCGTGAGGGCCTTCTTGCTGTGTCCTTACATGGCAGAAGAGAGAAGGGCAGCCAAGCTAGCTAGCCCAGTCCTGCTTGAAGGCTCTTACAGCCTCTTCTCTAAGGGCCTTAATCCCATTCACAGGCAAGAAGCCCTCCTGGACTAATCACCTCTTAAAAGCCACATCTCTTTTTTAAAAAAAAATTTAAGTCCGGAATGCTTTTGCAGGATGTGCAGGTTTGTTACATAGGTAAACATGTGCCATTGTGGTTTGCTGCACCTAACAACTTAGGCATTAATCCCAGCATGTGTTAGCTCTTTTCCCTAATGCTCTCCCCACCAACCCTGACCCTCCCCCAACAGGCCTCAATCAGTGTTGTTCCCCTCCCTGTGTTCATGTGTTCTCATTGTTCAGCTCCCACTTATAAGTAATACTGTGACATTGGCAACAGTTGAATTTTGGAAAGGACACATTCAAACCATAGCAAGGGAAGAGAAATGCATTTACTTTCCATGACCCCTTTCTCAGGAAGCAACTAGAGAGCATGCTCATCTGAAATGAGCATATAAATAAAGAAAGCCAACACTGGACTGCAGCAAAAGGAAATTCTGATGGGATTGCAAAGGAAATCGAGTTATGCAATAAACCTTGAGAACAGTCTGGGATCAGGCAGCCAAGAGCTAGAAGGAATTTCTCAGGAAAGAGAGGAAACTGCTCAGTTATCTGACAGCTTTGACTTTGTGGAAAATCAGATTATTCGCCATTTTATGAAGTTACTGTCATATGTGGGAAGACAGCCTGTGATTTGGGAAAAGTCAAGTCAAGGAAAGAAATTTAACTTGGGGTGAGAGTGAAATGAGAGAGTGGTACAAGGAAAGAGATTACAGACTACTATTTTGTTCTGTTGTGACCAATATTTATATAGCTACAAACATACAAATAATGAGTTTAGATTTAACTGAAAATGTGTTAAATATTTTAGGAAGTTGGAGGAGAATAAATTTTCCTGAGAGGTATACAAGCTGAAATTTTAGCTTTCATCAGGGAAGTTAGGAGCAAAGGCAAAGGTAGGGTAGAATGGTGGTGCTTTCTCTGTACAAAGGTAGCTGGCTTATTCTCAGTATCCACAATCAACACAGAAATGCCCACTGTTCTCTTTTATGGCTACTCATATTACAAAAACTAAATTTGCTGTCTTTGACTCCCAATGTAATAATAAAAGTGCTTCCTTGTTATCACTAATGAAACTGGTCTGAATGTATAATTTTAGCCAAACAAGTTCTTTAGCCATGTGTACCTGAATTTGATTCAGCCCTTATTTGAAGAAGAAAGACAGAATTTAAGTATACATTTTCCACTTTAGCACTCACATGGAAACGGTATCTTGCCTTCAAGTTCTTCATCCTAAATAATCTAATGGTGTCAGTCAATACTTATAGAATTGTAGTAATCTTAAACTCTAGGGGAGTTTAAAAATACAAGTGTTTATGATGTGCACATTGATTTTAGCAGTTCATCCTTAGTGGAAAATGTAATTGAATATGTGTTCAGATGGATAACACCGCTTTAAAGGAGGAATAAGACAGTTTAATGCAATGGGAAGAACTGGATACATCCACATATTAAATAACTATATAGTTTACTGATTGACAGTAACTCTTTATATCTAGGATTTGTTATATATGTCCCTTAGACTCCTCTTTCAATACCAGCAATGTGCTTCTTCAATTGTTGTCAAGTTGACATGTAATATACTTTTTTTATAACTTTTAATGTGATAGATCTTTCTTCTCCACTCCCATAGGAGAAGATAATGCATCTACTTCAGTAATAGCAATCTAGAAAAAAGATCCTTTCAATGCAATGATGTTTTATAATCTACTATCAGTGCAGTTTATCTTTCTCTAGAAATGTTTGTATGTATGTGTCTAAATATATGTATGTGTGAATGAAACACATATACAGAGAGAGATAGTTGAGATTATAATTTTCTGAAGAACTGGTCATTTGAAATATTTATGTTAGGTAAAAATCAGTGCCAATGTAGCAATCAGTTATGAAACATTATAACCAAAGGAATCATGGCTTTTATTTTAAGGGATAGTTTGAATTTTGTCATTTTTAACATTCCAATTTAAAAGCTGTATTAATATACATGGTTTTATTTTTTCTGTTCATTGTCTCTCTCTCATAATAGAATGTAAACCAGGTAAAAGCAAACCCTTTGGTATTATTCACTCACTTTTTAAATAACTCTGTAATTCTCAGAGTATGGATTTGATATAGTATAATTTATTTAACCATTACTTTCTTGATGAACATTTGGGTTTTACAATTTTTGTGACTATGAATTGTTCATATTTTGTTTCCTATACTATCATTTCTCTAGAATAGACTCTTCTAAGTGGGGTTACTCATTTAAAAGTATATTTCAATTTTGAGAGACACTGAAGATAAATTTCCAAAAATGTCTTAACAGTTCACACACTAAATAATGTAAGATAGCATCCTTCCCTCCCTCTACCTCCAACCTCTAGCACTGGATGTTATCAGTCTTTTAAAATTTTTGTCATATTGGCCAAATAATATGTGCAAAGAAAAAGGCATCTTACAGTTCTCATGCACATTTTTCTATTAGCAAATCATTACTTATATATTTCTTCTTCTACAAAATGACTGTGCACATCCCTCAACTATATTTCTATTGAATTGTTTGCCTCTATCATTTTAAGGTGTACTTTTATACATAGAAGATAGTAATCTTTAAGAAATCAGTTTTTCATAGTACATTCTCTTTCAGCTTTCTATAACTTTTTTTTTTTTTCTTTTTTTTGAGACGGAGTTTCACTCTTGTCTCCCCAGGCTGGGGTGGCGCAATCTCAGCTCACTGCAACCTCTGCCTCCCGGGTTGAAGTGATTCTCCTACCTCAGCCTCCTGAGTAGCTGGAACTACAGGCACATGCCACCATGCTCAGCTAATTTTGTGTTATTAGTAGAGATAGGCTTTCTCCATGTTGGCCAGGCTGGTCTTGAACCCTTGACCTCAGGTGACCCACCGGCTCCGGCCTCCCAAAGTGCTGGGATTACAGGTGTGAGCCACTGCACCCGGCCTTTTTAAACATTTTAAAACTAAAACGTTGACTTCTAGCAAAGTAAAATGTACACAAGATTAAACATTAAATAATGTCAAAAACATTTTGATGAAGTTCAGCAATTCCCTGCCTCATCTTTTCACATTCTTATTCCTTGATCTTGTAGTTCTTTACTATGTTTAGATTTGTAAATTCATGCTTCTGAAGAATATGACTACACATCATTTTTTCCAGTTTAACAGTCTATTGACTTCCTGTTATACATAACTATCATTAGTTTTTTTCTATATTTTACCTTATTTGTTACATGTGTATACGTTTTTCACACATAATTCCAAAGATTCTATCAGTTTCCATCTATCATCTGGAGAAAAGTCTTTACTATTCCCGAAGTGTACTTCATTTCTGAATACTCAAATTACTTTATGCCACTCTCCATGTGGCATATTTATTTTTTTCTCAGTTTGATCTTTTATCTTCCTAAATGCAGTCATCCAGAGGTTGTTCAGAAAAGGTGTATAGTAGGTATATTTTTAGTATCCTTATAGATTTAAAATTTCTAGAGTAAAAAAATTGTTTTTCTTAAAAAGTTTGAACACATTACGCCTTGCTTTTTAGCATTTAATGCTGCTGTGGAGAAATATATTTTTCAGGCAGAAAGAAATGGAAGAAAAACAGCAAGGTGCAAGTTCTATATCAGAGAAAAAAAGTTTCCCAGAAATTCTCAGATTATTTATCACTAACCAGATCTAAGTCAAATGGTCTCTCCCAGATGCAAGGGAATTTACAAAGGCAAGTTTTAAATTGGATACATTGCCCCCTAAATAATATCAGGATCCCATTAGAAATAACAAAAATAGGAATGGATATTGGATAGGCAATGAAAATATCTGTTGAATTTGGTTTCACCATAATTTATGTGACTAATACCTTATTATAAACATACCTCACAAAGATACCTTGTTTCATTGTGCTTTGCTTTGTTGCACTTCACATGTATTTTGCCTTTACAGATTGAAGATTTGTGGCAACCTTGCTTCTAGCAAGTCTATTGATGTCATTTTTTTAAACAGCATTTGCTCATTTTCTGTCTCTGTGCCACACTTTGATAATTCTTGCAATGTTTCAAACTTGTTTATTATTATTATATCTGTTATGGTCATCTGTTACACTGGTGATCTTTGATGTCATTGCAATTGCTCTGTAGCACTACAAACCATGCCCAAATAAGATAGGAAATTTAACCAATATATGTTGTGTGTCTTCTAGCTGCTCCACCAACCAGCTGTCCCGCTGTCTGTCTCCCTCTCCAAGGGCCTCCCTACCCCTGAGACATAGCAGTATCGAAGTTAGAACAATTAATAATCCAACAGTGTTCTCTAAGCATTCAAATGAGGGGAAGAGCAACCCATCTCACTTTAAATCAAAAGCTAGAAATGATTAAGCTTAGCGGAGATGGCATTTTGAAAACTGATATAGGCTGAAATCTAGGCCTCTTGCACCAAACAGCCAAGTTGTGAATACAAAGGAAATGTTCTTGGAGGAAATTAAAATTGCCACTCCTCTGAACACGTAAATGATAAGAAATCAAAACAGCCAGATTGCTGCTATAGAGAAAGTTTTAGTGGTCTGAATAGATCAAATCAGCACAACAGTGTCTTAAGTCAAAGCCTGATCCAGAGCAAGGCCTTAACTTACTCCAATTCTGTATAGGCTGAGAGGTAAGGAAGCTGTGGAAGAAAAGCTTGAAGCTAACAGAGGTTGGCTCATGAAATTTAAGGAACAAGGATATCTCCGTAACATAATAGTAGAAAGTGAAGCAGCAAGTGCTGATTAGAAGCTGCAGTAAGTTATCCCAGTACAGCTAAGATAATTGATGAAGGTGGCAACATTAGATAACAGATTTTCAATGTAGACAAAACAGCCTTATATTGGAAGAAGATGCCATCTAGGTCTTTTATAGCTAAAGAAGAGGAGTGACTGAGTGGCTTCAAAAGACATGGTGACTCTCGTGTTAGGGGCTAATTGCAGCTGATGATTCTAACTTGAAGCCGGTGCTCGTGTACCATTCTGAAAATCCTAGGGCCCTTAAGAGCTATGCTAAATCTACTCTGCCTATGCTCCGTAAGTGGAAGAATGAAGTTTGGATGACAGCACATCTATTTACAGCATGGTTTACTGAATATTTTAAGGCCAATGTTGAGACTTACTGACTGCTCTTTGGACAATGAACCTGGTCATTCAAGAGCTCTGATGGAGATGTACAAAGAGATTAACGTTTTGATGCCTGCTAACACATATTCATTCTACAGCCAATTGATCATGGAGTAATTTTGACTTCCAATTCTTATTATTTAAGAAATGCATTTCATAAGGCTGTAATTTCTAGTGGTTCTTCTAATGAATCTTAGAAAGTCAATTGAAAACATTTAGTGGTGAGTGGGAAGTATTCACCACTCTAGATATCATTTAGAGCATTCATGGAAGGAGGTCAGAATCTTGATATTAACAGGAGTTTCAAAGAAGCTAATTCCAATAATCATTGATGACTTTGAAATTAGGCCAATTAATAACCCTACAATGGCTTTTAAGTGTTCAAGTGAAACTAAGAGTTGCACATCTGTCCCTGAGTTCAAGTGAAGTTCAAGATTTCAGTGGAGGCAGTAACTACAGATGTGTTAGAAATAGCAAGAGAACTAGAAGTGAAGCCTAAAGATGTGACTTAATTCCTTGGATCTCATGATAAAACTTAGATGGATGAGGAATTGCTTCATATGGATGAGCAAAGAAAGTGGTTTATTGAGATGGAATCAACTCCTGGTGGAGAAGCTGTGAATGTTGTTGAAATGTTGACTCCAATTTTGAAGTTCCACTGTGGGTACAGTGCTATCCAAATAGCATTGCATGCTACACAGAAATCTTTTGTGAAATAAAGAGCCAATTAACGCAGCAAACTTCATTGTTGTCTTGTTTTCAGACATTGCCAGACACCCTAACCTTCAATAACATCTTGATCAATAAGCAGCCAGCAACATCAGGCCAGACCTTCCACCAGCAGAAAGGTTTTGACTCTCAGAAGGCTCAGATGATCAATAGCAGTTTATAGCACTAAAGAATGTTTAAATTAAGGAGTGTACATTTTTTAGAACTGGTACTACTACACATTTAATAGACTACAGCATAGTGAATATATTATATATACTGGGAAACAAAAAAATTGTGTGATTCTCTTTTTTGCAATATTCACTTGATTGTGATGGTCTGGAACTGAACCTGCAGTATCTCCAAGTGTGACTGTAGTTGACATTTAGGCTGTTTTTTTTTTTTTTTTTCATATATTTGTTGCAATAATGCTACTCATGGTATCTGTGTGCACATATCTTTATACGTTCTATGACTTATTTATGAAATAAATTCCTAGAAGTGGGATTATACTTCAAAAAGTACATTTTGTGGTATTTCCTATTGCCTATTCAAGTTTTCCAGTGTAAACTCCACTAACAGTTCACAAAGATTCTTATTTTCTTAAGCTGATACCAATGTATAGTTTTAACATTAAATTCTGATTTGACAAGTATAAAATTAGATCATTTTAATATTTTTATCTCTGATGACTAATGAGGTAAATACATTTTTCATTGCTTTTTTATATGAATTTCTATTTTGTGAACTGTTTATTCGTATTTTTTATCATTTTCTACTAAAGGGGTCATCTTTTTCTCATTGGTTTTGACATTTTATAATCACATATATATTTTACTCCTCCCAGCAGCAGTTATTTTTGGATTTTGATTGATAGTCAAACCCAGAACTTTAGCATTAATTTAGTTATCTTTCAAAAGGATCTGAGATGGGTCTGCACACCATGTGCAGTATTAGTAGAGTGGAAGTGATGTCATTCTGGCACAACTTTCAGTGTCCCCAAATGATTTTGCACCGTGGACTTCCATGAACACTAGGAAAGGGACTGATTGGTGTGGTCTGTCAGTTTAGGGAAACCATCAGCTCTGGGACCTATTTACTCTTTGTTACCTTGCTAGTCCGTGACTCCCCTGAGGGGTAGGAATCTAGTTTTCATTTTCTGATGCAGCTGTATCTCCTTAATTATAAATCACTTAATAACCAAACTCGACAATGTATAGGTATCCAGTAAGTAGAGTAACCTCAGCAGGACCCTGATTTGTCTTGGATCAAGTATTCAGTTTTTGAGTTATTGTTGCAAGGAAGATTAGGCCAAAGGCCGAGTCTTTACACACCTCTAAGGCTAGAGCAGGGGTCAGCAAACTAAGGTGCACAGGCTAAATTTGGCCACCTGCCTGGTTTTGTAAAGAAAGTATTATTGGAACATAGCCATACCCATTGGTTTATATTGTCTATGGTGGTTTTCATGTTACAATTGCCGAGTACATGTGACAGAGGCAAATCCACAAAGAGTAAAGTAATTGCTGAATGGCTCTTTAAAAATAAAATTTGCCTACCCCAGAGCTAGAGGAAAGGCCACAGCTCAGCTGTTAATCCTTTGCCCCCAATATGTCAAGAATATTAATCCATGCTAGCTATATTTTGAATTTTTATTTATTCTATTTTTTACTCATTAATTTGTTCCTTTACTTATTTATTAAGTCATATATTTATTCATTTATTGTCACAGTTTTTTATACTTAAAAAGTTTTCCAACATTTAAAGTTGAGGGATGTGCTAACATATGTTTTCTTCTACTTCTGTTTTGTTTGTTTATCTTTATGTTTTAATGTATCTAGAGTTTATTTTGACATATGGCAAATCATCATGATTTAACTTTGTTTTTCACTAAATCATTTATCAACTATTCTATGTCAATTGATGAATTATTCATATTTCCGCGTTAATTGAATATTATAGCCTAACTATGTATCAGATGCAAACATATGATGCCCACATACATTGCCGTGCTGTTTTGCTTCATTGGTCTTCCAGTTTCTTCTTATAACAGAACAATATTGTTTAAATTACTGATTTTTATTACACATACTAATACATTATTAACCTTTATTACATTTTAGTACATATTATTGACCTTTATTCTTCTGTTTACATTTTCTTAACTTTTCTAGCAACTTTATTTTTATAAATAAAAGTTGGAATTATTTTTTCATAATTCCAAAGTCAGTGATAGGAATTTATATTGGAATTGCATTTTGTTTATGAATTATAGAATTCTACATAAAAGTTAGAGCAAACATTTGTTATAACATATATCTCATTCAGATTAAATGAAATTAGGAAGAATATTCAAAATGCAAAAATTAAATGTCTATATGTGTTTTCTACAATATAAGCCACCACAAAGTTGTTCTTAAACAGGAATAACACATAGCTCCTGTGTTTATCATTTATTTTTTGTTTCTTTATTAATCTTAAACTGCTATAGAAAAACTGAACTTTAAGTTATTATTAAATGAATGAATGAATGAATAAATACATTCAAACCACCTAATATACAATTACTAGAAGTAATATTAATCTGGAAGTCTGTATTAAAGTCATTTAATATCTAAACTCTCTATTCAAAGAATTTTAAATATTTAAATATTATTAGAAACAGTCCCAAGAAATTTTAAATATGAAATATGTTTGACAGAACACTGTATCTAATTGTAAATATATCTTTGGTATGTTTTCATATGTTTAGTTAGAAATTCAGAGTATATATAACTGGGCTTATATTGGTGTTTACGTTTCATTGTGTTAATATTTACATTTACATTTTGAATACAAATTAGCTATATTTCTGGCTAAATAACATTATTCTTCATTAGAATATTTTATTGTAGACCTTGTGTCATTTTGATTACCTTACATCAGCATTTAACATCTCTATTAAATTCAGTAAATGATTTCATTCTCTTCTGACATATACCCAGAAATACAATTGCTGGATCATATAGTAGACTAATTTTTTGAGAAATTTTATGCTGTGTTTTCTTTTCTTTCCTTTTTTTTTTTTTTTTTTGAGACAAGGTCTCACTCTGTTGCCCAGGTGGGAGTGCAGTAGCACAATCATGGCTCACTACAGAATCAACTTTCCAGGCTCAAGTGATTCTCTCACCTCAGAATCCTGAGTAGCTGGGACTATAGGCATGTGCCACCGTGCCAAGCTAAGTTTTTTGTTTTTTATTTTTTATTTTTGTTTTTTATAGAGATGGGGCTTTGCCATGTTGTCCAGGCTGATCTTGAACTACTGGGCTTAAGCAATCTGCCCACCTTGGCCTCCCAAAATGTTAGGATTACAAGTATGAGCCACTGTGCCTGGCTCATACTGTTTTCAATAATGGCTATACCAGTGTATATTACTGCCAATAGTGTATGAAGATTCCCTTTTCTCCACACCTTCACCAATACTTGTTATCACTTGGCTTTTTGAGACTAGCCATCCAAATAGTTGTGGGGTGATAGCTCATCATGGTTTTGATTGCATTTCCCTGGTGATTGGAAATATTGGGCACCTCTTCATATACTTTTTGGCTCTTCATGCATCTTCTTTGGAACAATCTCTATTGGAGTCATTTGACCACTTTTAAAGAGATACCTCCAATCCCATGTTCACTGAAGCATTATTCACAATAGCAAAGATGGGAAAACAACCTCAGTGTACATTGATGAATGAATAAGAAAAGAAAATGCAGTATATTTACATACACATGGAATATTATTCCACCATAAAAGAAGGAAATCCTGACATTTGAGACAACATGGATGAACCTAGATGATATTATGCTAAGTGAAATAAGTCAGACAGACATAGAAAGACAAGTACTGTATTGTATGATATGACTTACTTGTGGAATTTTAAAAAGTTGAAGTCATAAAAGCAGAGAGTAAAAGGGTAGTTGCCAGGAGATGGGGGAAAGTGGGTTGGAAATTGGAAGATGTTGATTAAGGATACACCCTTTCAGTTTTAAGATTAATATGTTCTAGCGATCTAATATACAGGATGGTGACAATAGTTAATAATGGCATTTATTGTGTTCTTGAAATTTTCTAAGGGAGTAGATCATAAATATTCTCACCACAAAAAAAAAAAAAACCAAAGGCAACTATGTGAAGTGATGAATGTATCAATTAGGTTGATTATAGTAATAATTTCACAATGTTTTATATAGCAAATCATTACACTGCATATCTTAAATATATACAAGGTTTGCTTATTATCCCTCAATAAACTCACTATCACGGGAAAACTCAGTGAAAAATTCAGTAAATAATTAGAGGAATGTTTTATCTTATATTTTTCTCTCATTATGGTTATTTAGGTTAATATAATTTGAGAAAAGGTTATGGGCTTAAAACCAGATTCCCAAATCTTGTCCTTAAAAGATAGATGTTTACTAAAAATTTGTAGTCACACAAATACAAAGTATTGGTTGGAACTGGATTTACAGGCTTATTGGCCATCATCTGCTTACTCTATTCCACATCTTGCTGTCAGTTACTGCCCTGGCTAATATGCATGTAAGTTTTGTTTTGGTTGCACAACTGAAATCTTAGTGAAAAATATAAGAGGATGTCCCTCACATCCCAATGACGGTAAACCACCTTGCCTAAGGAAGAAAGTGTACTAAAAATTGGAACCATATATGGACTTTTTCTCAGGTTGTTGCTCCTGAACTTATCAAAAGTGTGTATAGGGGAGATGAAGGTGTGGCAGGGCCTGCAACCCAGTGGATGAAGGAGAGAAAAGGCAATTCTCAGAAAAGGAGTGCTGGGTGATGAATCCAGTAGGGGTCTACTATACTATCCTCAAACTCTTTAGTTAAGAGGAGCTCTACAGAAACTGGCAATTGCCTCTTTAAATAGCTTTGGATGTTGGAAAGTACAATTGAAATTCTTTTGAGTAGTTTCTAATTATTGTGCACATTATCCCATCTTAAGATGAATCAGAAAAATTTAAACTCCTTATATGAGTGTTCTGCAGATAAGTAATAATAGTTTTTTGGATGTCTGTTGTCTTTCTTATCCAAGCTAAATATGCTTGTTTCTTTTAACTGTGTCTCATATGACATGACTTTAAGTCTCTAAACCTTTCTTTTATTTACATTTTCCTCTTAAGGTGTTCTAATTTGCCCAAAACTGCAGGCACTATTTTGAGCATCTCTGAAAAAGAGTGGGACAGGACAGGTGTGGTGCCTCATGCCCACAATCCCAGCACTTTGGGAGGCTGAGGTGGGCAGATCATCTGAGCTCTGGAGTTTGAGACCAGCCTGGTAAAACCCTGTCCCTACTAAAAATACAAAACTTAGCTGAGCATGGTAGTGGGCTACTTGGCAGGCTATGGCAAGAGAATTGCTTGAACCCGGGAGGCTGAGTTTGCAGTGAGCCAAGATTGTGCCACTGGACTTCAGCCTGGGCAACAGAACAAAACTGTCTCCAAAAAAAAAAAAAAAAAAAAAGTGAGGGACGATCACATCCCATACTAATTTTTACTACCAGCATATTAATTAATTTTTCATATTGCCCTCATTTCTCTCTTGACTATGTTGAAATATAAGCTACATAGTGTTTTATTAAGATTTTCAGCTGATAAACTGTACTGTCTCTGTCTTGTAGTTGTGGGGTTGGAGTTTTAGACCCCAAATTGCATGTTAATTTGTTAAATTATGTCCATTGCTCTGGTCTGTCACATCTCTTTGGATCTTGATTCTGTATCCATGATACTTGGTCTCTCCCCTTCTTTGTTTTTGTTTTTTGGTTTGTTTGTTTGTTTGTTTGTTTTTACCTGTCCTGGGACCCTCATCTTTTTTTTTTATAATTTCCCTATTGACCCTTTTAAAACATATTGAAGATAGAGACAGTGCAATTTGCAACTTGGAGGGAAACATTTTTTATCTCATTAAAAACACTGGCATCAGTGAAGCAGGCATCTCAGGCTCTGTTCTTACATTACATTTTCAAAAAAGATGTATGGCCTAGACCTGTTCTGCATTGTAGCACTACAATCTCCAGCTCAAATCCTTTTCCTTTACCAGATCAAGCAGTGTGGAGAACAAATTCAGAAACCTTATAATCTTTTTGTAGGTCTAACTGTATCACTAACATGAGCAGCTTTAGCAAATTAGCATTTGGAAGCCCTCCTGAAGATCAAAGTTCTCTCAGTATCGTGATGAAATTATACTGCTTACAGCTATATACAACCCCTGAAACACCCAGCATCCATTCACCAAAGACAAAGTTAAGTATACATCAGTATTATATTGCACGTATTACATCCATAGGGAAGGTAAAAGGGTTAATGCATGGAAGAACATGAAATCATATAAACATTTGTATTGTGCCACACATTGTTTTAAGCGCTTTAAACATCCCTTATTTTACCTTATCCAAACTAAATACACTTATTTCTTTTACCTTATTTAATGGCTGTGACTATAAATTTTTGAGATGTTATCTCTGACTGTCTTCATTTTACTAATGAGGAAAGTAAATTGAAAAAGGCTGTTTACTTGTCTGGGTGGCACAGATAATAAAATAAAAGAATCTGTATGTGAAATAGGTAATTTGACTTCATTTGCTTTTAAACAATACACTATACCCCCGTCATATAAAAAAAGATTCTAAAAATGCAGGGGAAATGAAGTTTATGAGAATCAATATCTACTTGTATCTCTTAATCTGGTCCCTCAGTACGTTGGAGTACCTCTTAATTCCTCTCAATAACATCAGCATATTTAGTAAGTATGATCTCCTTATGTCTACATTCAAGCCTATTTAGCCATCCATTTGTTATCTGCAAAAACGATGAAATGACCTGGCTGAGGACTTTTTTATATTAGGAACACTTTTCCATGTGAATGCGTATTAATTTAAGTATTTTTTCCTAGCCCTTATCCTCCATCTTATCTAAGTAAGCAATCAGATATCTTGCTTGGCATAGTTCATATACCTGGAATCTTTCACATTTCTCTGTATATTAGATTTGTAGCCATTTCCAAAAAAAATAAGATTACTTCGAAATTACTTCCATTACAAAATTGATCCAAGACATCATAACCCAATTATAAGGTCATAATATGGTGTTATGGTTAGTATCTACATTCTAAGTTGTGAACCTTTAGCATAATTTAATTTTATCAGAGAAAAAGGAACTTATCAATATGCTAATGAATGAATTTCAACATACTCTTTTATATAGCTAAAATGAAACAGTGGTGCTTATACCTATTGCTTTATTTTTGCTACCATAAAAATCAGTAATAATTGAACTTTTTTTTTAAAGCAACTACAATCGAAAAGATTTCTGAGGAAATACTGTCATTTTATTTATCAGTTTGTTGTTTTGTTTGGTTGGTTGGTTGGTTGGTTTTTTTTGCAATTTTAGCTTCCCTTAGGGCTCTTTTAGCTAACAAGTTGGAATTCTAGAGGGCTGCAGTGTATATAAATCACTCATTCTTTAGCCTTTGGTAATCGGAGCCATGAGGTTTTATTATATTTAGGTTTATCAGATAAAAGCCTTCTGGAGATCTGTGATGTTTGTCTAACCCTCACCTAAATCTGAAAATAATTATATGTAGTGCTGTCAAACATTACAGATATTAGCACTGTATTTTATTCCTAATGAGCTTGATATATTAAAAGACTGTTCATTTATAAAATTTTTGCAGAAACAATTCCTGCTGATAAACATTTGTGGTGACTAACTACAGAGGGTCATTAGGATCATCGAGCCAACTCTGATAATTTTGGAGTTTCCTGAAAACTTGTCAAAAGTGCAGTCATGTTTTAAAAAGTGTTGTGAACTCTTTCAAGAAACAATTTTTCTATTGGAATCAGTTATTATGCATTGGCTAGCTGCTAATTTCTTACTGCTACTTATTATAAATAAGTTCAAGACTTATGCCCTCCTAACCTTAAGAAACTGAATCATTCATCCTTCATCCTTAAAACTTAGACAGAAAATCAAAATGGTGTTTCAACTTAACCTCTGCAGTCATCTTTGGTCTTCCTCTTTAATCCGTTCCCTCATTCTTAGGACAAGGGGTCTGCACATGATAGGTGACGGGTCAAATCCAGCCTTCCACCTGTTTCTGAACAGGCTGTGAGTTAAGAATGATTTTTACATTTGTAAATTGTCTTAGTCCATTTGGGCTGCTATAGCAAAATATCATAGATGGGTTCGCTTCTAAACAACAGAAATTTATTTCTCATAGCTCTGGAGGTTGGCAAGTCTAAAATTAAGGCTCTAGCAGATTTGGTGTCTGGTGAGAACACACTTTCTGGTTCATAGTTGATGCCCTCTACCTGTGTCTTCACATGATGGAAAGGACAACAGGTCTCACTGGGATCTCTTCTATAAAGGCACTAGTCCCATCCATAAGGACCCCACCCCATGACCTAATTACCTCCAAAATGTCCACCTTCCAAAACTATCACATTGGTAATTAAGTTTTAAAATATAAATTTTGAAGGGAAAAAAACATTCAGACCATAGTATAAATGGCTGGAAAAAATTATAAGATTTGTTACATTGGAAAATAATGTGAAATTAATATAAGTAGCAGTAAGAAAACAACAGCTGATTAATACATATGAAAGTCAAATTTTAGTGTTCATAAATAATTTTTTATTGGAACTCAGACACATCACTCATTAATCTTGTCTATGACTACCGTCCTGTGGCAATGGCAAAGCTGAATAGTTGTGGCAGAGATTATAGTGCCTGTAAACTCTATCTGACTCTTTACCATAGGAGTTTATCAACTCCTGCTCTGGGCAATCTTTCCATGTCAGGGCAGATTTTTATGAGGTTGCACCAAACTAAATAGCTTCTTTTCTAGATCTGTTCTGTTCTTTTGCACTCCAGAAATATCTTGTTCAATGCCCAGTTTGGGTTCAGATATCCCTAAAGCATTGGGATATGACAAGAAAGTATGAAAGTATTTATATTATTTTTCTCTTTTGTTCTGATTTCTATTTTTATAAATGTTCTATTGGAGATGCAGGTCAAAAGTTTGCTTTTGTTGACGGAGTACATGATCAAATAATTTTAGAGACCATTGACCTAGGTGAATACATCAGAGGTCTGTTCGCCTGGCTCAGCAAGGACAAACACTGACATCCCGATAGCAGCAAGAGAAAGTGAGGCATTTACTGCAGGGCACCAAGTAAGGAAGATCAGGCAACTCACACTTAAACATTCTAACCTCCCTGATGGCTTACAGATGAGGATTTTTAAAAGCACGGATATATTTCAGGAAAGCAGAAGTTACAGGCAACATTGTAACTCAATACATCGAAGTTTAACATTGGTTTTGGCCTAAAAAGGCAGCATATCTTGAAGCAGGGGCCTTGCAGTTCAGAGATAGATTCAGATATTTTCTGATTTGCAATCAGTTAAGGAAGAGAAGCTTTGTTTAAAAAATTGTGGTCAGCAAAATGAATGTTAGCTCTGGCTCTTGGGTTTGACTTTCTCTAAGCACCTCAGAAAGAAATGTAGAACAAAGAAATTTGGTCAAAGTTCAGCCCTTAATTCTCCCTTTTCTGAGGTCAGCTTGCAGGCAGATCCATTTGGTGAAGGTACAGGATTCTGAAAAAGAACTTAGAGACATATTTTATCTTTAGCTTCTATGGGGGAACCAAACATTCTGTGATTCTTCCTTGGCTATTGTTTTAAGCTACTATTACCTTCTTGCTTATCAATTTGCTTTTTTACTTCTCACGGCTAGCTAGGTACCTAGAATTTTTCTTGAAGGATCTCAAGGTTTTCCTTTATCTCCATGCTTGGGTCCCCACCCTCCACCCTCACCGCAGGCCCCTAAAGGGGGTTCTTTCTCTATCTAAATAATCTGTTAGGATATTTATGGGTAATATATGAAAAAACAACTTTTAGCATCCAACAGGTTTGTGAGATAATGGATTATAGAAAATTATGCAGGTAGGTTTAGTATGGGAAGTCTGAAGGCCTTTAATATGCTGAGGCGCCTTGTGAATCCTCAGAAGGAGATCTCTTTGGTGTTTCCCCAAAATAGTTTGTTCATGTAACTTCCCATTTAGCCCCAAATATCTCAAAGAACATTTTTGAAAACGGTTCTCTCATTTCATAAGATGTTTCAGAATGTTAAATTTTATTGCATGTATAAAAGCACAAATGATAATTATAGAGTACTATAAAAATATCAGCTATCATTTGGAGATGCTTTTATCAATCCTGACACCCAGACAGGCATCAAAGTGACTGACTTGATTGTTACTTAAAATGTATTTGTTGTCATTGTTATTGTTGCTACTTAATTAATTTTGAATATATACTTGAAGTCAGACTGTGGTTACAGCCCAAAGGAAAACCGCCACCATGATGATGTTCCTTATAACCATCTAATGATTCGCAAAGCTATTTAAGCAAGCTAGTGATAGGGGTTCAATGAATATTATAACCAAAGTAATAGGAAGATTTTGATTGTAAAACCTTCAGCAGGAATCAATTTATTTTTAGGTCAACCAATAAGAACATTTTATGGATATGTCCAGATTTTCCATTTCCCAACATTTTTTTTGTTGTTCTTATAATTTTGATTGCACTGTAAACCAAAGTGTATCTGATACATGTCTCAATCAATTTATGTATTTATTTAGAAACAGGTGCTCTTTGTGTCACCCAGGCTGGAGTTCAGTGGTGCAGTCATAGCTCACTGCAGCCTCTTCGTCCCAGGCTCAAGCCATCCTGCCACCTCAGGCTTCAGAGTAGCTGGGACTAGTCATGCTCCACCATGCTCAGATAATTTTTGTAGAGTCAAGGTTTCCCCATGTTCCCCAGGCTGCTCTAGAACTCTTGAGCTCAATCAGTTTACAAGTTTATTTTGCTGAGGTTTAGAGCATGTCCATGACACAGCCTCAGTAGGTCTTGATGACTTGTGCCCAAGGTAATCGAGTTGCAGTTTGGTTTTACACATGTATTAGTCCATTTTTACACTGCTGATAAAGACATGTGAAACCAGGCAATTTACAAAAGAAAGAGGTTTAATGGACTTACCAATTCCACACAGCTTGAAAGGCCTCACAATCATAGCAGAAGGCAAGGAGGAGCAAGTCATGTCTTACTTAAATATGACAGTAGGTAAAGAAAGAGAGAGCTTGTGCAGGGGATCTCATTTTTATAAAACCATCAAATCTCAGGAGACTTATTCACTATCATGAGAACAGCACAGGAAAGACTACCCCCATGATTCAGTTACCTCCCACCAGGTCCCTCTCACAACACATGAGAATTCAAGACAAGATTTGGGTGGAAACACAGCCAAACCATAGCATTCCTCCCCGACCCCTCCCAAATCTCATGTCCTCACATTTCAAAACCAATTATATCTTCCCAACAGTCCCCAGAGTCTTAACTCATTTCATCATTAACTCAAAAGTCCACAATCCAAAGTCTCACCTAAGACAAGGCAAGTCCCTTCCACCTATGAACCTATAAAACCAAAAGCAAGTTAGTTGCTTCCTAGATACAATGCGGGTAGAGGCATTGGGTAAACACAGCCATTCCAAATAGAAGAAATTGGCCAAAACAAAGGGACTATGGGCTCCAAGCAAGTCCAAAATCCAGTAGGCCAGTCAAATCTTAAAAAGTTCCAAAATGATCTCCTTCGACCTGGATGTCTCACATCCAGGTCACACTGATGCCAGAGGTGGGCTTTCATGTCCTTCAGCAGCTCCACCACTGTGGCTTTGCATGGTATAGCCCTCCTCCTGGCTGCTTTCATGGTCTGGTGTTGAGAGTCTCCAGCTTTTCCAGGTACATGGTGCAAGCTGTTGGTGGATCTACTATTCTGGGGTCTGAAGGATGGTGGTCTTCTAATAGCTCCACTAGGCAGTGCCCCAGTAGGGACTCTGTGTGAGGGCTCTGACCCCACATTTCCCTTCTGTACTGCCCTAGTGGAGGTTCTCCATGAAAGTCCTACTCCTGTAGAAAACTTTTGCCTGCCCTGGGCATTTCCATACATCCTCTGAAACCCTGGCAAAGTTTTCCAAACTTCTATTCTTGATTTCTGTGCACCTGCGGGCTCAACATCTGTGGAAACTGCCAAGGTTTGAGGCCTCCACTCTCTGAAGCAATAGCCTGAGCTGTATCTCAGCCCCTTTTAGTCACAGCTGGAGTGGCTGGGACACAGGGCACCAAGTCGCTAGACTGCACACAGCAAAGGGACCCTTGATGCAGCCCACAAAATCATTTTTTCCTCCTAAACCTCCAGGCCTGTGATAGAAAAGGCTGCCACAAATGCCTCTGATATGCCCTGGAGACATTTCCTAGTTGTCTTGGGGATTAGCATTTGGCTCCTCATTACTTATGCAAGTTTCTGTAGCTGGCTTGAATTTCTACTCAGAAACTAGGATTTCTTTTTTCTATTGCATTGGCAGGTTTTAAATTTTCTTTTATTTTTGAGACAGAGTCTTGCTCTGTTGCCCAGGGTGGAGTGCAGTGGCATGATCTCAGCTCACTGCAACCTCTGCCTCCCAGGTGCAAGTGATTCTTCTGCCTCAGCCTCCCAAGTGACTTGGATTACAGGTGCCTGCCAACATGACTGGCTAATTTATGTATGTTTAGTAAAGACAGGGTTTCACCATGTTGGCCAGGCTGGTCTTAAACTCCTGACCTCAAGTGATCTGCCCAGTTTAGCCTCCCAAAGTGCTGGGATTACGGGCATAAGCCACAGTGCCCAGATACATTGCAAATTTTCTAAGCTTTTATGCTCTGTTTTTCTTTTAAAACTGAATGTCTTTAACAGCACCCAAGTCACATCTTGAATGCTTTGCTGCTTAGACATTTCTTCTACCAGGTACCCTAAATCGTCACTCTCAAGTTCAAAGTTCCACAGATCTATAAGGCAGGGGCAAAATGCTGCCAGTCTCTTCACTAAAACAACAAAAGTCACCTTTGCTGTAGTTCCCAGTAAGTTCCTTATTTCCATCTGAGATCACCTCAGCCTGAATTTCATTGCCATATCATTATCAGCATTTTTGTCAAAACTATTCAACAAGTCAGTAGGGAGTTCCAAACTTTCCCACATTTTCCTGTCATTTTCTGAGCTCTCCAAACTATTCCAACCTCTGCCTGCTATCCAATTCAACAGTCATTTCCACATTTAGATATCTTTTCACCATCTCCCTACTCTACTGGTACCAATTTACTGTATTAGTTCATTTCATGCTGCTAATAAACACACACCCAAGACTGGGCAATTTACAAAATAAAGAGGTTTAATGGACTTACAGTTCCACATGGCTGGGGAGGCCTCACAATCATAGCAGAAGGCAAAGAGGAGCAAGTCACATCTTACA